ATCTTTGATAAAAGATACCATTGTACTCTCAATTTGTTTGCAAAAAATAAATATATCCTATTAAAAGATAAAAGTACCTTTAAAAAAATGAAAAGTGTACATTTTTAGCGTAAGAATATTATATTTGCAATTCATTGAAACTTTTTTTTTTCTTCTTAATAATAGAATAGCTTCTATAAGATCTTCTTTCATTGCAGATCCAAAATAGTTTTTGATAAGTTTTTATATCTGAGAAAAGTCTTTCGACACTCACTTGGTTTGCTACTAAAGTTGTCACTATTTTTGCTACTGCTTGCATGAAAGATACACTACTGTACTACTACTGCACTACACCACACCACATCACTGTGCCTAGAGCTGAGTTATGCCCCTATACAGTTTGGGAAGGATATGGGTGAGAATGTTGACTGAGCTCTGTCAGCTAGTCATACAGACATAAGAGTCTGACAGTTATAAGAGACTGGCTACACTACAAACACCCATAGCACTGTCGGGACTTGAATCCGAAACCTCTGCCACTGAGCGCCAGACACTCGGCCATTCAGGCCCCAGTCATGTTAGATTACTACTACTACACACCACACCACATCACTGTGCCTAGAGCTGAGATGGCCTTTAGAGATTGGCTTTACAGTCATATTTAAAATGGATTGAGAAACACTACAAACAAAAATGGCACTGCTGGGACTCGAGCCCAAAGCCTGTGGCACCGATTTCGGCCATGTGGCACCACTCGGCCCTTCCGGCCCGATTTAAAGATATGATCGGATGATCACCTGAACATTTAATTTTAACATTCATTTCTAGAATTTTGGAAAAATAAAAATCCCGACTCCTTAAAAAATTCTCGCCTTCTGACTCCTTGCTGTCGACTCCGACTCCTCACTTCCACATATTACAGTAAAATACATCAATGACTTGCTGACTTCATACTAAGCTTTGGTTTGTCGCTCTACAGTCATATTGTGCACACTTTAGGCTAATTAGACCGGGACCTACTGTTTAACGTGGATTCCGAACCACTCATAAGCATCCATGCCCCCTCCATGATTCGAACCTGAAGCCTGTGATACCAAAGGCTAGAGAGCTAGTCAATTGGCCATCAGGCAGCTGTCTTTATAATAAGAGTTTTGTTTTGAATATTTTTTGTGGTGAAAACAATGTATTCTCTATTCCGTATAAACAAAATAAGAAATAAATTATTTATCCAATAACATAAATAAACTCGAAAAACTAATAACAGACTTAATATAATAAATTTTGAATAAACTGTTATATTTTGGAAACCAGATCCTGAAAAAAAAAAAAAAAAAAAAAATGTTGTTCTTATCCAGTTGCGTTGAAAAACCAATTGCCCAAAAACGAGTAAAACTGGGTAGACAAAAAAACCCCTATCATCTTGGCAATCCTCCCTTCGCCACTAAATCATGCATCAAACGATGAACCAGTAGGAGGAAGGAAGGGATCCCAACAAATCGTTTGGTGGTGGTGGCAAGACGAAAGTGATTTCTTCTTCCCTTCCTTTCGGAGCTTCAGTGATTCCGGCGTCAGAGGAAGTGATCAGACGATTATTTCTTCTTCGGCCGCAGGAATCGTTTGGGACTTTTTATTTCGGTGTTCGATAGGCAAGAATGGCGGGTGTTTGGTTTGTCGTGTCCATACCGACGGCTTCTTTCGAAAGGAAATTGAAGCACCCCGAAGAATATAAAGAAAAGAAGGATCATCATGACGGTAAGCCATTCATTTTTAATGTTAAATGCCTTTTTTTAATAATGTCTTTTTTAGAATGCTTGTTTCTACGAATTCGTACTTATTATAATAACATTTAAAAATTTTTTTTTTTTTTTTTTTAGAATGATAGCTTTTTACGAATTTGTACTTATCATACTAACACTTAAAAAATTTTTTTTTTTTTTTTAGAATGATTTACGAATTTCTACTTATTATATCAACAATTAAAAAAAAATTTTTTTTTTTTAGAATATTAGATTTTTACGAATTTGTACTTATTATATTAGCAATAAAAAATTTTTTTTTTTTAGAATATTAGATTTTTACGAATTTGTTCTTATTATATTAGCAATCAAAAAAATTTTTTTTTTAGAATCGCAGCTTTTTAAGAATTTGTACTTATTATCTCAACAATTAAAAAAAAATTTAGAATGGTAGCTTTTTACGAATTTGTACTTATTACTTATTATATTAACAATTAAAAAATTTTTTTTTGAATGGTAGCTTTTACGAATTTGTACTTATTACTTATTATATTAACAATTAAAAAAATTTTTTTAGAATGGTAGCATTTTACAATTTGTACTTATTACTTATTATATTAACAATTAAAAAATTTTTTTAGAATCGTAGCTTTTTACGAATTTGTACTTATTACATATTATATTAACAATTAGAAAAATGTTCAGAATCGTAGCTTTTTACGAATTTGTACTTATTATATTAACAATTAAAATTTTTTTTTTTAGAATGGTAGCTTTTTTACGAATTTGTAATTATATTAGCAATCAAAAAAAAAAAAAAATTTTTTTAGAATCGCAGCTTTTACGAATTTGTACTTATTATCTCAACAATTAAAAAAAAATTTAGAATGGTAGCTTTTTACGAATTTGTACTTATTACTTATTATATTAACAATTAAAAAATTTTTTTTTGAATGGTAGCTTTTACGAATTTGTACTTATTACTTATTATATTAACAATTAAAAAAATTTTTTTAGAATGGTAGCTTTTACGAATTTGTACTTATTACTTATTATATTAACAATTAAAAAAATTTTTTAGAATCGTAGCTTTTTACGAATTTGTACTTATTACATATTATATTAACAATTAGAAAAATGTTTAGAATCGTAGCTTTTACGAATTTGTACTTATTATATTAACAATTAATTTTTTTTTTTTTTTTTTAGAGTGGTAGCTTTTACGAATTTGTACTTATTGCAAAAAAAAAAAAAAAAAAAAAATTCTTAGAATCATAGATTTTTACGAATTCGTATTTATTATATTAACAAAAATTTTTTTTTTTAGAATGGTAGCTTTTATGAATTTGTATTTATTATATTAACAATAAAAAAAAAAAAATTGTTTGATATTGCACTCTGATTTCGATTATATATTGCACGTAAGTAAAACTGAAAATAGCAATCAAAGAATTCGTTTAAAATATGAAGAATTTTATTTTTTAAAAAATAAAGAGTTTTATAGTTGTAAACTATTCCTTTTTGATACTAGTAAACTATTCCTTTTGATACTAGTAAACTATTCCTTTTTGATACTAGTAAACTATTCATTTTTTTTAGAATCGCAAATTTTTACGAATTCGTGTTTATTATATTAACAATTAAAAATTTTTTTTTATAGTATACTCTGATTTCGATTATATATTGTATATGAGTAAAACTGAAAATAGAAATCAAAGAATTCGTTTAAAATATGAAGAATTTCATTAAAAAATAATAGCAATTAAAATATGAAGAATTTTATTTTAAAAATAATAGTAATAAAATATGAAGAATTTTATTTAAAAAATAATAGTAATAAAACCCGAAGAATTTTATTTAAAAATAATTATAACAAAATATGAAGCATTTTATTTAAAAAATAATTATAACAAAATATGAAGAATTTTATTAAAAAAATAATAATAATAAAATATGAAGAATTTTATTTAAAAAATAATGACATTTTTTCCAGTTTTGATAAAATATTTTCGAAAACTAATTTCTGTAAAAATAATTTCATAACTATAAAAGTTTATTGCTATGAATGCGTTTTTTTGTTATCTAATTGTTATTTGATTTACTGAAATAGCTTTTCTTTTGAAATTTTGTTTCTCAAAAATATATTTCAGAAGAACATATAAAAATGATTAGTAGCAGCTATTAAATATTTATTTTTTTTTTCTTCTGTTTGAAGCATTGTTCAAATTTTACTCGATTGCTAACCATTCGTAAACTTTAATGTCTTTAATCAAAATTTTCAAAGAACTTACTAATTATAAATAGCTTTCAACTATTATAATTATGAATTTAGATTGAGAATTTTTACGATTATTTTTCGATATATATATATATATATATTGGCTATTACAGAATAAAATTTCTGTAAAAAATTAGTAAATAAATTATAAACTAATATTAAAATTATAAATAAAATAAATTATAAAATCATTATGAAATAATATAAAATAGTTATATTAAAATAATTACTTTAAATTATTTTACAATAATTTCATGATTTATGAAAATTATAAATTAATTATAAAAACTAATAACAAAAAATTATAAATAACAAATAATTATATTTATAATTTATAATTTTATATATAATTATACAATTAATTATAAAATTATTTTTTTGAATAATATAGATTAATAATTACTTATTTATAAAATTATTTTTAAAGTGTAATAGGCTTTCAAACAATAGGTAAAAGATGAAAATAAATATAAAATGCAATAAATTTAATTAGTTGATTCAATAGCAATTATTCTAAAATCCTGAAATCTCTGGACTTTTTTTTTTTAATTTCTAAAAATAAAATAAATAATAAATTTATGTCTTTCATAGCATGTTTAAAAGAGTCAGAAAACAATTAAGTAGATAGTAATTTTATTTAATTGGATATTTCAATAATAAAATTAATTATTATAACTTTGTTCTGAATTCTTGAGGAATATATATATAAGCAATACTTTGATCGCTCTTCCACGTTGTTCACACCTCACCACTCAGCTACGATTCAGATAATGTTTTATTTTGATGATTTGAATAATGCAATGCACTGTTTTCGTATCAATATTCTGGAATTTTGGTAGTTTTTTTAAAGATAATAATTAAAAAAATTCACTTTTCTTTCAATAAATAGTCAATTTAATTATCGTAAAAATGCTTATAAAAAATTATAAAATTTCTAAATATATTATTTGTCATGGATTTTTAAAAAAAAAAATTATATAAATTATGATTAAATAAACCAGTATTATAATGGTTCTCGTTAGATCACCGAAGTCAAGCATCATTGGGCGCGGTCAGTACTTGGGTGGGTGACCACCTGGGAACACCGCGTGCCGTTGGCATTCACACATTAGGGACCTGAATGGCCGAGTGTCTAGCGCTCTGGCGCTCGGTGCCATGGGTGTTTGAAGTGGTTCGGAATCCACTTTAAGCCGTAGGTTCCGGTCGCACATGACTGTAAGAGCGTCACGGAGCAAAAGTCAGGCTTCTACCTACGGGGTGCTCCATCACAACAGAAGCTGCTTCCTTCCCCTTCAATCATGAGTACATATGGGCTCGTGGGCTTGGCCTAGAAATGTTTGCCAAGTGGGATAAGAAACAACAACAGTATTATAATTTCTTGTTGTTCTGATGTTTTTTTTTTAAACGGATAGACAGTTTTAAAAATTGTTCCATTAAATAAAAGCAAATAAATAAATAAAAATTTGTACAGCTATCTATCTTTAAACGGAAAAAAAAAATCTGGAAAGTTTAAAATACATCTAAGAGTTTTTTTTTACATAAAAAATATAGGATAAAAGCAATACAAACATAATAATTATATACTAGAATAAATCTGTTCTTGTTTTCTAATACGAACACACTGACTAGTGTCATTTTTTTTTACTAGAATGGCAGATCTATAGCAGATTCAGCGTTACAATAGGTGAAACGCAAGAATTACTAAACGAATCCGTTATTTTCCTACATGTTTTATGCATCCACACAAATAACCTGAAGTATTAGCACCTTCTTTCCTTTCTCCTTGAATCGAATGAAAGGATTTTTTGTCTTCCCACGTTTGCCGTAAACATGGAAGGAAGATTTTCAGCTGCAATACGCTATTTCAGCTGTTTCCCAATTTCAGTTGCTGAATTGTTTTCTAATTTTCAGCTGTCACTGACGTTCGCATGTCGTATAGAAGAAAAGAAGTAAAATTACAATAATGCAACCTGGTAATTGGAGTTGCTTTTCCACACTGTCAATAACGTAATTTTTAAAGCAGAGACGCAACGTTCGCTTTCGAAGAATTTGAACCGCAGCTCTCTGAACGCTTAATGTACGTATCTCTACTAATCGACGAAGATTTGGTTTGTCACTTGATTTGATTAGGACATCTTGTGCACACGACGGCTAAACAGACCGTTACATACAGTTTAAAAGGTGGATTCCAAACCACTCACAAACATCCATGACATACAGGCTTTGAACGTGAAGCCTGTGATAACAAACGCCAGAGCGTTAGCCATTTGGCCACCAGGCCACTCTTTGCTGATCGACGAGTCATACATAAATGTGTTATAGGACAGATTTGTCTTTTACTCGGTCTACTTTGTGTAATTTGTGGCCTGATGGTCGAGTAGCTAGCACTCTGGTACTCGGTACCATAGGTATCAGGTTCAAATCCCGACTTGCCCATGGGTGTTTGTAATGGTTCGGAATCCACTTTAAACCGTAGGTCCCGGTCCTAATAGGATCGTAGAGCGTTGCGGAGGCATTGTTACTCCGCGTCCGTAGCTTATCTTCAAGTTACACGCGCCCCCTGGGTAATGCAAAGTGAGTAATGTCTGTGCAGCGCTTGCCTTAAGGCATCAAAGACAATTGTCTAAGTGGTTGCCAGCTGCATTAGAAAAAAAAAAAAAACTTTGTGTAATTTAATATGAATGTATAAAAAAATCATAAAATATTTTCCACAGATTTTATTAATATTGTCAACGAATTTTACTTATTATTATGAAAATCAATATTACAAACATTCAATCTTTGATGTGGAAAGAATATCCAATTTTATTAAAAATATTAAATTTTCTCATCCTTTTTACGATAGCGTAATTATACGACAATAATTTTTTTATTTAATTACCTTGCAATCTTATATTCCTCAGTAGACTTTTTTATTTCTACATCGGGAAAAAAAAGCAAAAATAAATAATAAAAAGTACAAAATAAATATATAAAAAAAAAAATAGGTTCTCCTGTCATGGATGACCAGTAAACAATCTTTTAACACATTTAACAGCTAGAAATTGAGCTTTATAATGAGTTTTCGTTCAATTTCAAATATTGCCATCGATAATAAAAAATATTCTGAATTTGTTTAAAAGGATTGCTATTCTTTTATTGCTAATATAAATTGAAGTGAATAAGCTATCAATATTTTGATATCTAATGTGGAAATGGTCAACAAAGGACATAATTTTTAAGCGTTAAAGAAACTGTAATTAGCGCTCTGCAGCTAGGGTTTGGTTAACTTTAGTTAACTTCAGTTAACTTTTCGCAATTAACTTTCGGATTCGAGTTTCGGCAGTGTCAAGGATGCTTGTAGGGGTTCGGAATCCCCTTTAAACCATAGGTCCCCGTAAAAATGACTGTAGAGCGTTGGGCTGACAACCTACCCTGTAAAAAAGAAAACAACTAATGTTTCGGTATCTCTCTGTAGGTTGTACGGCATTGACCCTTCAAGGGGATGCTGCGCTATTGAAGAAAAAGAAGAAAGGAAATGTAAGCCTTACTCATGTCTAATGGTAATTTAAATAGTTAGCGCATAAGAGAGGCTGGTTCAAATCAACTAACAGCGTTCGTTTCAGTAACTCTTTTTTTCATTTAAATTTTCTCAAAGGGTTTTAGCTATACGAAAAATTTTTTTAAAGATTGTAGGATTTAGCACACAAAAACAAGCATAAGTATCCCTATCAGTGAAAAAGCACAGTTTCAAATGTTAAGTCAAGAGCAAAACACAAGCACAGCTAAACCTTTGAAAACAATACGAATGTTTTACTGATGTGTAGTTGTCAAACTCTATCCTGTCGATTAATTTAAGATGGAATGTTACTTTAGAGTAAAACAGCTGGAAATGTAAGAGGAAACCTTATTCTAGAGCAAAACAGTTGGAGAGGTAATCCTATTTTAGAGCAAAACTGTTGGAGATATAATCTTATTTTAGAGCAAAACAATTGGAGATGTAATCCTATTTTAGAGCAAAACTGTTGAAGATATAATCTTATTTTAGAGCAAAACGGTTGGAGATGTAATCCTATTTTAGAGCAAAAACTGTTGGAGATATAATCTTATTTTAGAGTAAAACAATTGGAGATGTAATCCTATTTTGGAGCAAAACTTTGGAGAGCAAAACAATTGGAGAAAATTCTATTTTTTGAGATATAATCTTATTTTAAAGCAAAAACTGTTGGAGATGTAAGATGGAACTTTATTCTAGAATTAAACCGTTGACAATGTAAGAGGAAGCCTTATTATAGAGCAAAACATTTGGAGATGTAAGATGGAACCTTATTTTTGAATTAAACCGTTGGGGATGTAACAGGAAACATTATTATAGAATAAAACAGTTGGATATGTAAGATGGAAACTCATTCTGGAATTAAATCGTTGGAGATGTAAGAGGAAATCTTATTCCAGAGTAAAACAGTTGGTCGACATTCATGATGAATTTAGTATGAATGTCGCAAATAGCTTCTCGTCTAAGTGACCGATAATTTCCCGCCATAATCCGAGCATTATAAGTTAAAAAAAATTCTAGAATTTACCAGCTTGGATTATGGGCCATATAAAATCTTGCTGTTTCTTTTCCCCGAAAAGTATCGGTAAAAATTAATTCTTGAAAAAAATGCTGACTGACTGAGTGTTTACCCGAAGATTGTAAAAAAATTGATGCTGACGTGAAAAAGAAGTATGCTATTCTTTTAAAAACAAAGTGATGTATTTATGCTAATTGTGGATGATAGAAAATAAGCGTATTTTTAAAAAAAAATACAGGATGGAACTTACATTGCACACCATAGTAGAGATTGAAAACAAGAACCCCGGGTAACGAAGTTCCAATTCAAAATTCTTTTCTGGAAGTTTGTTTGAAATTTTGGAAAATTTGAAATTTAATTTCTATTACAATTTTTCGCTTTCATCATAGATCTTTCGCGTATATTTTATTTCTCTTACATACACAATTTTCGATACGTCGTGTTAATTTTCTTATATTATTTCCGCATAGAAAAATCTTAAAGTGGGAAAATTTTTTAAATTTATCCCTATCATAAATTCAGAAATGCAATTTATTGGTAAAAGTTATGCTGAAAAAAAATAAATGGACACGTGGTTGAATTTACGTCGCCTCGGATTATGTAAGAGCATTTTATATTTGTCGCCAAAATGTTGTTTTATATTTATTTACCATCAAAATGTTATTTTTACATTTATTTATCAAAATATTATTTTACATTTTATTTATCAAAAGGTTATTTTACATTTATTTATCATCAAAATATTATTTTTACATTTATTCATCAAAATGTTATTTTACATTTATTTATCATCAAAATATTATTTTACATTTATTTATCAAAATGTTATTTTACATTTATTTATCATCAAAATATTATTTTACATTTATTTATAAAAAATATTATTTTATATTTATCGACATTTATTTTACATTTATTTTTGTTATTTTAATATATTTATCGCCAAGAATGATATTTCATTTATTTTATTTATCGATATTTATCATCAAAATATTATATTTTTATTCATCAAAATGTTATTTTATACTTACTTATCGATTTATTTATAAAAAATATTTTTTTATTTTTTATATTTATTTATCGACAGAAATGTTTTTTTATATTTATCGTCAAGAATGTTATTTTATACTTATTTATATTAACATATTTAGAAATGCTATTTTATATTACTTATCGACATTTATTATATGTCTAATATATTTATCATCAAAATATATGACGCTGTGAATTTTAAACGGTAATAAGCACAAGTTCTGTAGCATGTAATTATTATTGAGTTAAATTAAAAAGTCCTAGTATAAAAGGATTTAAATAATGATACACTATAGTACCATTTGTAATTCAATTCAATTAAAAAATCTATCCTAAAGTACTATTTAATAAATGGTAGCACTTCACTTAACAGAGCTTTTAGTTAATGCTTTATAATTTTGATAATTCGTAACCAGACCGCAAAAGTTCCACGCCATATTGAATGATTTGTATTATCATTTTTTCGTTAAAAAAATTTTAATATAAAATAAATTGCATCTCTAAATTCTGA